CACGTTTCTCCATCTTTAATGCAGTTGAACATACAAGTAACGAGGCCTATCTCGCATATTCCCCTGCCGCCTTCTCATCTGACCCAATACAGAATTAAAGGTTGAACCCGCGGCGAGAATTCATCACATCTTATCTCGACATCCCAGCCGGGACGCCGAGTGTCGTTTACCGTGTGGCTGGATTCCTTCTTTTAAAAGATTCTCCCCTCGCTCACCCCTCTCCCCCCCCCCCCTCCTCCGTCTCTGCCGGCACTTCAGGGACCTACTCCACATCCAACCCCTCAAAGTCTAACCTTGGTTCACAAAGATCCCAGCACTTTTAACGAAACGGGGTCCAATCATCTTGAACTCAAATTAGAATCTATTTTTTGATTCTCCGAGGTGTTAGGTTCATTAAGAAAGCAAGATTGGCAGCACAATAAAGAGGGTCAAGCAACCTAATTGTTTGACTGCTGCCTGCAAGCCGAACATGTCAGCTCTTATCGAAGCCTTTCTTTTTTTTTTTTTTTTAAAGTGCACATTTTACAACTGACCTTATTTTTTGTCGAGACCTGTAAGAATACACTGGTGGTGAGATTCAATGTCTTTGTTCACCTATTTGCTCGAACTGCACTTACACCAGCATCCTCTCTCTTCTGTGTTTATCCAGCTGAGCCTCTCTCAGGTGTTTCACCAGAAGAAGACTCTCAGGACTCCCCCAGGTTGGGAGTCTCCAGGAGAGAGTCTCTAAAAGGGGACCAGGATCTGCTTACCTGCGGCCAGTGCCACACCCGCTTCCCCCTGGCTGACATTCTGCTGTTCATCGAACACAAACGGAGGCAGTGCCACGGCGGCCTCTGCACGGACAAACCACTGGACAGGCCGCCGTCCTCCCCACTTGCCTCCCCCCTCTCCACTTCTTCAACTCACTCACGAACCCAGCACCTGCGACAGGCCTGCCACCCCGTGGAGGTGGCGGTTCAGGTGTCGCCGCTGGACGAGGATTGTTTATCTGCGCCCTTGCAAGGAATAATCCCCAAGCAGGAGAATGTTACAGGTAAACGTGGGATCTTCACAAACACACACAGAAGAGCCGGGAGGAAGAAAAAAAAGTACCGGGTCACACTTTCTATATGGTTCATAGTTTATTTCAGAAGAAAACGAACGCTTCCAGAGATTTCCTTGCTTTGCTTCTGCTAAATTGGATGTTAAAAATCTGCATAAACAGGGTGTAAAATATCTGCGGCTGCATTTAGGAGCTGTGACTTTTTCCCAGCTGAGTCATGAACCTAAATGGAGACCAGCCGTCCCTGAGAAAGGGAAACATTTGGAGACAATGAAAAGACGCACACAGACAAAAAAAGAGGGAAAGATGGGATGAATTTCTTTTGGTTTGTCCTGTAGCGCAGATGTGTTCAAGTCCTGTGGACGAACTCCCTCTGATGTGGTGCTCGGAGATGTATCTCTGTCCTTCACTGGCTTATTACACTGTCATACAGTATCTCTTTTACCCTCAAGTATGTGCCTGCAAAGGCTCGCTCGGGTTCTAAAATTAAAAAGCGATAGAGAAGAATGTAATTATCTGTCAGCGAAGAAGTGTTTATTTGAGGAGCTCTGCCGCCACTAATTGTCAGTGTTTTCCTAGATTTGAGTAATTAAGGACTTCTTAAGGCATCTCGTTGGTTTGTTGGTTGTCCACGGGGGCTAAATGAGGCCGCGCTGAAAAGATGAATCGCTGTGCAAACAAGCAAGCATCTCGGACGTCTGCTTTTAATGTTGACCGTTGGAGTGTTTGTTCCTTCCCGTTAACAGCGTGAGACTTGTCTGGGCAGTTGTGTGATTTAATTTGAAGCCAGTTCAGGCTAAACGCACGGAGAGGACTCCATCATCGGCTCCGGTGTGCAGCATTAGCTGCAGCTTTGCAGACTGGAGCGCTCCTGTTGTTTCCTGTTGGTTAGTTCGCCCCCTGCGATACAGAATGACCACTGTTCGTTAGTGTACAGTTTGTTAAACGTCTGCGCACACGGGCACATCTGACATGTCAGCTGTTCAAACAGGCATTTCTTTGCTCATTTAGCTCATCATTCGGTGGAGTTCACATGATATCATAAGGTCACCGGCATTGTGAGCAGAGCTTTGTTTATCCGACGAACATCTCTGGATTCTGTGTAACAGTTTTGCTCGGGCTAATGATGAATGGATTAACTTTCTAAACTGATTTGAAGCCTCGTCTGATTTGGTTTTTAGACCCATCGCAACATTTGAGGTCAACGTTTTGCAGCTCAGCTACTAAAGATGTATATTAAAAAAAAACTGCATAAGATTTTTTTGGGGGTCAAGCAGAAAATGCAGCTTATGTGCAGAACAGGCAACACATCAGTCATGTGTATACAAGACAGTGCTCCCCCCCACCCCCACCTCTGTTTTCAGCATCCAGGATTGATGGATGCAGGCTGGCAGTGCCAGTGAGCCACCCCGGTCTCCATATGCTAGCTGCCATGTTCTCTTACCCTGCTCAGTGAGAGCCTGACACCGAGCTGAGGCATCTCAATACATACTGTCCCCACGCTCGCGTCATTCCTGGTCCATTCCTAGCAAGTGTATTATATGTTGCAGCCCTCAACTTGAAAGAGCCCCCCCCCCCCGCGCTCCACACCCTCCCTCTGAACTATCATTTCACACAGATGGATTTCCATACAGACAGCAGTTCATAAAAGCAAAGTCTCTCAGCATAGGTTCAGGCAAGAAGCTGCTGGACTGGAGGAAGCTGACACCAAGAATGGCTGAACTTGAAGGTGAGGAAGATAGAAGGGAGGGGGTGGGGGGTGGGGGGGTGAGACGAGGGGTCCGTTCTGTAATAGACCCAGAGCTTTGAGATGAGCTGCGCCTTTGGGTCTGTGTCTAGGGGACAGCTGAGGCCGTCTGGGAGTCTCACGACTGCAGCTGGGGTTGGGGTCTGCTGTCTGGAGCTGTGGGCCGTTAGCAGAGGGCAGAGCAGCCTGCGCGCCGTCATTTGCATGATAAACAATTTAAGATATGCATAGAGACGTCGAAGCTTGTCTGCAGATTATGGATGGCCCAGAAAGAAAGCAGATGAGGGTTCCTCAACCCTCATCAGAGGAAAATAAATTGTTCTCAAAATGACAAACTGGGAAAATTACTTTTATTCATTTGCAAACTCTTTATTTTATAAAGTAAGATTTTTACTAGTGCAACAAATTACTACACAACCATAATAAAACATTTAGTTATTTTTGTCTGATATGCCTTGATTGGTATTTCTACAAATAATTTGTTTTATTAGCTCAGGGCAGCTGTGGCTGAGTGGCTAGAGCAGTCACCCTCCAATGCAAGAGTTGGGGGTTCAATTCCACAAGCAGTCACATGCCGAATAGTGTCAAGACCAACTAACCCGAGACCAAGACCTCAAATAAAATAAATAAAATATAAATCTTATTATAATTAAAAAAAAAAAAAAAGTTACGTGATGCGACTTTAAGTTTGCTTTTGAGTGAATATATCATCCATCCATCCATTTTCTTTACCCGCTTATTCCATTTTGGGTCACGGGGGTCGCTGGTGCCCATGTCCAGCAATCACAGTGCGAGGGGCGGGGTACACCCTGGACGGGTCGCAAGTCCATCACAGGGCCACATAGAGACAAACGAGACAAACAACCATTCACTCTCTCACTCACACCTAGGGACAATTTAGAGTTACCAATCAGCCTAACATGTATGTTTTTGGACTGTGGGAGGAAACCGGAGCACCCGGAGAAAACCCACGCATGCACGGAGAGAACATGCAAACTCCACCCAGAAAGGCCCCTGGACCGGGGTTTGAACCAGGGACCTGCTCGCTGAGAGGCAGCAGCTCTACCAGTTGCGCCACCGTGCTGCGTGAATATATCAGCTTTTATAAATTTTCAAAGCTACATAGCAAAGAAATCAGACATTCAGTGGCCTAACTTTATGTGTTTCAACAATAAAATTGCACAACTGTTAAATTGGAAGCAGCTTCATCACATGCCAAGCCTTAAAAAACTGCAGTGGCAAAACAATCGTCATAAGTCCGAACTCAAGACCAACGATAACCATATCGTTGCACAGTGGTTTCAATAAAGTAGTAGATATACACCTAAAAAGTTACATAAATGGATATTAGTTTAATTTACAAGAATATTCTTTGTGATTTAAATAGCCAAATTTTATAACTGATGATTTGGCAGACATCTCCCGTGCCCCAGTGTTGCCAGATAAAGTTGAGGTTTTCCAGCCCAAAAATCTGTTTAAAACTGCCACATCGCACAAAAATCCGCACAATCAATATAATGTTACAGTATATTTACTGTTTGAACATCAGTACAAACCAAGTTAATTTAACAACATGTGGCAAAACGCAATAATCCAACAAAAATCTTCCCAGATTTCCCAGCAAAATCAGAACGAAAACCTCCCAATTGGCAGTAAACTGCCCAGTCTGGCAACACGGACGCGTGCGAGTGAAAGGGGGTGGGCGTGACAGCGGTAACTAAAATTTGTATTTAGTAATGAGTCACGTTATCGCTTGGATTTGAACCAGTACGTTTTGCATCCAATAAAAACAAAGATGTGAACAAATAAACTGGAAAATATTCTGGAGATTTAGTGATATTTCAACAGTTGTTGTCTTGACTGATCTTGAAATAAAATCCAGAGTCCTCAATGTCCGAGACCGAGAAAAGACCGAGACCAAATGTGGTTGAGTCCGAAACGAGACCAAGACCATCAAAGAGTGGTCTTGAGACCGGTCTCGAGACCCAAGACTGGTCTCAAATACTACAACACTAATGCCGAAGTGTCCCTGGGTGAGACACTGGACCCTTCATTGCCTCTGATGTGTGTCCCATCGGTATATGAATGTGATAAAGCACTGATTAGTCTTTGTATAGATCTAGTAGAGTGCTGTATGAATGGGTAAATGAGGGCACAGATTGTAGTGTAAAACACTTTGAGTGTCTTGATAAGACAGAAAGACGCTATATAAGTACAGTCCATTTACCATTTAGATCGTATTAACATAAAAGCACATTTTTCTGCTCGCACTGCCCCATCGTTTTGGCTCCCCACTCATCCATCTCGGCATCAGCACCTCTTAGATTCTCACCAACGTAGCCACATGTGTTAATGAGGCCACTGTAGCTGTGCCAATCGACCACCACCTCGCACTTCTTTGCAGCCTTCATTGAAACTCGGGCTTTGAATCAATACTGAGTCAATTATGGCAGCCACCTTTCCCTCCCCTTTTATTCCTCTCGACGAGAAGGAAAACATCCTAACAACCTAGCAGTATTTCTTATAATGCTTTTCTCCTGCTGCTGCGTGTTCATGCAGAAGCTTGCCTGTCCTGTTTTCTCCCTGCAGAGACAAAGGTGTTTAGCAGGCGATGTGTTGGCACTTTGCCACTTTTCTCCACCCCCCCTTCACTCCAACCACATGCATGTACTCACAGTGGGTATCTAGGCAGAGCTGAGCAGGGGGCTGGGCAGTGCGTGGCAATACCGTGTGTAAGTGGTGTTCTCAGTCTTAGTCTTGTTCACTGTCCAGTGTGCGTGCATGTGTGGAGACATATGGGGCATAGAGGAAGTTTACACGTGGTGCCTTTGTTCCGGTGATCACTTTAATTGATACTGAAAAGCCGCAGATGCGTGCTGCTGTAATTATTGGACACCAGCTAATACTTTAACATAAGCACCCCATTGTCTGCGAAAACTGACTCTAATTTGATCGTACAGTCGCTCCGGGCTCTGATAGAATCAGTCCTATTTTTAGCCACGCTAAGTTTTAATGAAGGTGAACAGAGATGTTTTTTGGGATGAATTTTTCATAGATGACTTTTTTTTTTTTTGCATTTTGAAGCCGAGCGAAACACCCACAAACGTTGTCGGCCTTTGTTGTTGGATTAAATGTTAGGAGCTCTGACTGCATTGGAGAGCTGTGGACGGGTGAATGTTTACACGCCGAGTGCAGATGTGCTGTTAGTGTGTGTGTGCATGCGCATATTTGTGTGTATATGAGT